GGAAGGAAAAAGCTTATATAAGCCCCCCCCCAATTTTGAATCCTAGCCCTTAGATCAATCTAATGGCCTAGAATGCATCCTTAATGATTAAGAATATTCCTTAATGGCTAAAGATAGGTGACATGGCATTATAGATGGCCATGATCTGTTCTAAATGAATGGCCATAATTGATTTGCTTAACCCATAAGTAATTTGCTTAATCCTTAAATAAGGGTATTTTGGTAATTTTGCTTTTGGGGCATTTTTGTAATTTCCATTTAAGGGCATTTTTGTCATTTTGGGCACAAAAGGGATGTGGCCGGCCTTGGCTGGTCGAAATGGACTGCCGGCCACCGGATTTTTTACCGGAAAATGGCCAGTTCGATCGAATCGGTTCAATTCTAATCAAACTGGGTTGAACCGGTTAGACCGGTTTAACCCGATTTTGACCAAGTTGAACCGGTTAAATTCTCGAACCAATTTGTTCCAATTTTGTACAGTTTAATCCCTATTATGTTTAATTGACCCGATTAATATTGAATTCGATTAAATTAGATTGAACCAATTTTAAATTCAAGCACAAATTGATCCAATTTAACTTGTTTGGCCCAATTGTTCTTTAATTTGAGTTAAATTGCATGACCAAGCTAGACTAATGGATTTAATTGAATTACAATTGGCCAAATTGAGCTTCAATTATCAAATTGGATGCTAGTCTAGAATGGGTCAAATTGAATTGCACTAATTGGATCAATTACTCTTAGATTTCTCAATCATTAGATCACTAAATTCATCGAATTGGCTCAAATTCATGAATCTTCCAAAATTGATTTCGAATTTAAATTTCATATAAGAAATTAGGCTCGTTCATGTCTCAATTGTGCAAATCATGAAGAACCGACCGGAATCACTGATTAGGGCCTAAATTGGAGATTTTCGTTCTTGGCTTGGAATTCTAAAGTTGACTTAAAAATTGAATGTAATACGACCTCTAGATCAAATGTCATGAAGGAAATCATCCTAAAAAATGATTAGAAATGAAGTAATTTCATTTTTGGTCGATTTGAACCAAATTCTGCAAATTGGGAAAAAGTTGATTCTAAACCGATTTTTATAAAATTGATAATGCCAAAGTGAAATTAAGCTGAAAATGAGTTGATTTAGGGGTTTTGAAATTTTATAAATTTTTTAGACAAAGTGTTGACCAAAAGTCAACATTTTAGTACTTATGTACTAAAATGTCAATTAATGGGTCAAACTTTGAATTTTTTGAAAATTGATTGTGCAAAAGTGAAATCGACACTATTTTGGGGTTTTTCATGCAAAAAACTAAATTTTGACTTTGGATTGATTTTTGGTCAAAGTTGGCAAAAGTCAACTCGAAAGTCAACTCTTTGACTTTTTTAAATTGAAATGCAAAAAGCTAGAAAATGAATGGCTAATTCTAATTTAAATGCTAAATGACTCCTTTTAGTTGAGGATTGGGTTCTGTCGTGATCAGAAGCCCTAATCTCAATATATTACTTTTAGGATACGTCAGCTAAAAATCAAATGTCAACAATACTCATGCACGAAGCACTTTTCTTTTTCTTTCTAATATTTTGACTTTTCTCTTTTCTTGTTTTTTTTAAGCTAGCTGGGCCCCACATAAGGTGGACCCAGTCAACAAATGCCATAGAGGCACCATGCGTTCAAAGAAAGTAGTTAAAAAAGGTACCTCGCCATTTTGAGTTAGCCAAATTAGATGAATTAATCGATGGACTTAATTACATTAATTTAATGAGTTTCGGAACTTGATTACATTTTTTTAAAATTTTTAAACTCAATTGTATTTTAATAACAATTTTTAGGACTGATGCACTTTTCTCATAATCTATTATAAAAGATTAGAAACAATTTTTCAAAAAGTTGTAGAAAATGTTGTTCACACTAATTTGTTTGATATGAAGAAAGTTTAATTTTATGATCATGCCTTTTATTTGTTTCGAATCGTAAATAAGGAAAAATGAAAATAAATACAAAAAATGCAAGCCATACAATTTTTCAACTACAATTTTACATTTTATCCCTATACTTTCACCACTTTTCTAATCAACTCCTTATAATTTCAATTTTTCTGATCGAGTAATTCTACTTAACAAATGTCTAATCAAACACATCCGGTAAAAAATTCGGCCAAATCCAACTATCATGGTCATTGAAGGATGTTGAAGTGTGACAGGTATTAAATATTGCTATAAGGACACCCACTATGGGTTGTGGATAATGAATAGCTTAAATTTTAATAATTTGTATTTTTTTTAACTCTCACGAGTTCACTTTGTACATGAGATGGTTTACATTGACAATATTGAATTCACGTTACACTCTAGCATCTACCAATGGTTACTTTAGCTGGATTTTGCCAGCTTTTGTGCTAGAGGGATTTAATTAGACATTTTATATATGGTTGCATTTTTTCCACTCTTGATTTGGCTTAAACAGTCTAGTTTTTTTTGTGTTTTGACCATACTATCCCTTGTGGGGCCCATCACTTCTGTTACAACTCTAAAATAGTGATCATTTAATTATTTTGTCTTTTTTTTTCCCTTTCAGGTCCACTTTCCTTCTTCTTCTTTTCCAAGCCTTTGACGTCTCAGTTCTCCGCTCTTGCAAATCGTCTTTATATTTTCTTTCTGGTAAGCCATTCTCTTCTTTCTACAACGCCTCCCACTCCTTCTTCTTCTCCTTCCACAAATCTATTTTGCATCTGCAATACCCCAAAAGAATGGCTTACTTCAGATTCACGCCCTCATCATCGCTATTAGAGGTATGGTTGGCACTTGTCTTTTTTTCCTTTTTAATTTTCTTGGTCTCGAATAATGCTCATTCCAGTTGCTATTGAGTGTTTCTTGATATATTTTCTTAAAAGTAAATTTGAGTTTTGGGTCATAAAAATGCTTGATCTTGTGTTTCAATCCTGCGTTTAGAGCGTAGCGTACATCAAAATAGTGTTTGTGAATTAATTGTGCAGTTGCTTTGTAGTCTGTAGCATACTTGTGTCCTATAGACTTTTGTTTCCTCTAGGTTTAGTTTCTTATTATCGTTTTCATAAGTTCTTCATCATCAATCTTGTGATTTTGTCTTTGTTTCTTAGTAATTGACTTATTAGGAATAATGATGCAGGATATGCTTAATTTGGTTGTTTGATCTCTGGGGGAATTTAGGTAATCTATTTTTTTTGGCGACAATGGAGACGCAAGGTGATTTGCAAGAGCAAAGAACTAAGAATTCAAAGGTCTAGAAAGAAAGAAAAAGAAGGAAAGTGGGACACACGTGAAAAAAAAGATACAAAATAAAAAATTTTGACCAAATAATAAATAAATAAAAGATCACTTTTGTAGAGCTGTACCAGAAATAGTGGGCCCCACAATGGATAGTATGGTCAAAACACAAAAAATGGGAGTGTTAAGCCAAAAGAGGGGTGGAAAAAACGTGACCCTTTATATAAATAGAAAAATTAATTAGAAAAATTAAAAGTATAGTGACTTAATTAGGTAAACAATGAGGTTACGTTTGGTAGTCAGGATGAAATTTAGGATATGATAAATTTTATCATATCCCGTGTTTGGTGCCTATCCAAGACAGGATAAAGTCGAATATAAGAGGAATATAACCCCGATAAAATTATCCCATGGAGAAGGTGGGATAAAGGTGGATAGGATTTTTAATGTCCATAATATAAAAGCTATTTTTTTCGAATAACAAACTTGTTAAATTAATAAAATTAAAATAATATTTGAATATAAATAGTATTTTTATTTTAATATAAAAAATTAAAAATTAAAAAAAATAACAATAATTACGTTTTTATTTATTCTTATTTTTATTTATATATTCTAATTTCTTTCTATCCTATAATCTAAATTTCATATATATAAATAAATACATTTAGTATTTATATTTATTACATATTTTAGATATATTAGTATAGTTTACTATTTAATAAAATTTTATTAGAGAATGATGGAAGAGGAAAAAAGAAATAAAAAAAAGAAAAGAATTAAAAAGAGAGGGAAAAATAATAAAAAATAAGCAAATAAAAATGAAGTAAGTAAGAGTGCCGTGAGAGATTTTTAGCATCTCTATTTGTGCAATTTTTAGGTACATTTAAACCGATATGACGTTCATAGTAAATAATGGACATAATAAAATATAAAAATATACAGATTTAATACTGCGATTCACCAAACAATAGATAGAATATAACAAATCTGAATTTCATATCCTATCCTATCCAATCCTATCCTTACTAGAAATCCAGACTATCAAATGCAACCTGACAAGATAAGGATGGAAAGTAGCATTTTTTCCATTATACAACAATGTAAAGAATCGGCAATAAAAAACCTCTAAAAAGAAAGGGATAACGACAACGCAAGTATATGAACTTTTACTTGTTTTACGATCGAGTTAATAAACTTTTTCCTAGTTCAATTATGCACCTCAACTTTTCAAACTTGGTTCAATATGAGGTCTCCATTAATCATGGATAGAAATTACTAGCATGAGTGCTAATACTATTAAATAGCCCTAAACCGTCACATTGACATTTAATGCGGCTTCCTGCGACAACGTCACGTCACTAGAGACATATCAAACTACCAATATCGCACAAGTCGACACTCTCTCTCGCTTCTCATCATCCACCACCTAAATAGAGACACCATAAATGTTATCTGAATAGGCAATTCACATCGGCAATTGTGTTTAACTTTTGCAGAGTAAGCGAGGCACGACGTCCTAAGAGACGGACCAACAAGGCAATTTAAGTAACGGAGGACTCATGTCAAGTCAAATTTTAAAAATATAGAGATACTTGATTGAATAAAAAAGAACCGATAGAAGTTCAGGTCACGGTGACGAGAGTTTTCCAAGAAGAAGAAAGAAGAAATGTCTTCTTGAAAAGGACGTGCCCCCCTTGGAAGGCCCAAGCCCAGTCCAGCCTTTTGCAGTCTTTTAACTCAGTTCGGACACCGCCTCGCCACAACAGTGGAACCGAAGGGAAAATAAGAAGACCAAGTCCGAAAGAGAGAGAGAGCGAGAGAGAGAGAGAGGCGAGGGTGATGGAGGAAGACGAGGGGAGCAGCAAGGTGGAGACGGCGAAGGCGGAGAGATCGGTGTGGCTGATGAAGTGCCCGGTGGTGGTGGCCAAGTCGTGGCAAGCTCACCCTCCCTCCGACCCTCTCGCCAAGGTCGTTCTCTCTCTCGATCCTCTTCGACCCCCGGAAGACCCTTCTTCCCTCCAGGTACTCTCTCTCTCCCTCTCCACATGTTTGATTATAATTCCACTGGTGATTCGAGCGTTTTGAAGTGACGCCGGCGATGCGAATTGCGAATACTTGCTTGAAACTTGTTCTGATTTCGAGCAGTGGGGAGTTTAATGATTCGGAGAGTGGCGAGTGCTATAGGCTCAGATGTTAATTGGGTGTGGTTGAAAAGGCCAGTTGATCTGCGGAGTTCGGGCACAAGTGGGTGTCCTGTTCTTCCTTGGTTGTCCGAACTAGAGGTTTGTACGAGGATAATTGTTTGATTTCGCACAATTCCTTTTGTTCTTAGATGCCCTTCTGTTTGACGACCATCTCAAGAGAGTTTACTTGCTCGTAGCTTAACTCGTAGCCACATAGGTTCTACATTGTTTTATGTTGTGAGTGACCCCCTCGTCAAAGTTCTTAAGGTTAATATCACAAAAACCTAAATCTGGTACACTTGTGAATTCCTCCAAACTAATTTTTTGACCACCAGAAACCCCAAATTGATACACCTGTGACAAATTTACCATCTGCTTTGGTAAATTTTACCGTCAAATTGCTGAGTTGGACACATATGATAGTTGACGGGTGTACCAGTTTGGGGTTTTACCCTCGTTTGTTATAAATGTACCGGTTTGTGGTTTTTTAGTAATATTAATCCAATTTAATGGAGGGTAAATTTGTCATAAACGTATCAGTTTGGGGTTTTGGTAGTCAAAAAATTAGTTTGGGGTAAATTTGTCACGGGTGTACCAGTTTGGGGTTTTTGGTGGTCAAAAAATTAGTTTGTGGTAAATTTGTCACTGATGTACCAGTTTGAGGTTTTTCGTAATATTAACCCAAGTTCTTAATTCCCGGACACTATTGTGTAGCTTTTGTGTATGACATCTGCTGCTGATGTTTTGTTGCTTTGCATTTCCGATATTATCTTCTTGTATTGTGAATCAGTTCACTATGGAGATGGCGAGCACCGAGCCTGGGAATATTCCAAAAAGTTATTCTTTGAATATGTCTAAAGATATTGTCCCAATGTCTGTGTTCTCAGAAACAAGTCACGGTGAGCACCCTGAATCTCACTGTCATTTGTCATGTGCTTAGTTGTATGTTTTTGTAAAATAACACATGCGAGTTTTTCATCTCTTGTTGTTCCATGTGCCTCATGTTTGCTTATGTATTCTAATGGCTGATTGCCCTTGTACTTGATGTTGGGATATTGGAGTTTGAATTTTAGTAGATTAGAGTCGCTGCAAATTTGTCAAGAATGGTTTTACTGAGTATTCAATATCTATCATCACTGAATGGCTATCGTGGTACTTTTGTCTATAGTGGGGGTTCCCTTAGGTACTTGTAAGAGGGAAGAAAGATAATGTACTTGTTCCATACTGATTTATTAGGCCGCCATCCCCTTAAGTACCCTAAGTTGTTGGGTTGCAAGCAACAACAGATCTAAGTGGCTACTTGAAGTATGATTCCAAACTTGTAGCATTTTCTCTCGCTAGCAATTAAAGATCTGAAGTAGGCTGATTCAGTCCCTGTCCGTCCTGTTATTAGTTTAATGACTTTGGAGATGATTTTCTTGGCACTTTATGAGCCATATGGTTTGTTGAATTAGCATGTTTAACTCAATTATCACTTTGAAATGGTGACCCTGTACGCTCATGAGCTAGTTCTCTTATCACACAACTTGGATTATGAATCTTCACCCCAATTTCTTTCAATTAAATATGTGGAAATGTTAAATATCTAGATTAGCTCGTCATTAGTAGCGAAGTTTTTTACTTTTGCATACAGTTATGAGGTGAGGGTAATCCTTAGGTTGAGCTGAAAGAATGTACAATTTTTTTCACGAGGTTTGTGTGACTTTATCGTGCTTGCTCAGACATTCACAATCATATTTTGGCGTTGTATATTGCTGTGTTCTGTGCAGTGGGCGGTGTTGCAAACCGATTAAAGTTTGCTGATGCTCTTGATGTACTCAAGAGTATAATCTGCTTTGGAGCTTTCAAGGGCTGTACTTCTTTTCATGATTCAGCCATTAAAAGTTTGGCTTCTTCTGAAGATCTTGAATGCATATTGTAGGCAAGGTCGCAGTGGAAGGGAAAGTGGAACATAAATTTGACATGAAACCGAATAGTGATAGCATTGAGGAGTACGGAAAGTTATGCCGTGAAAGGACAAATAAGTCCATGATAAGAAATCGGCAAATACAGGTAGAATTTGCCTGTATGTAGTTATTTCAGTGGCATTTACTATGATATTGGGTTGTTAAGGAAGTACTTTATGCTACATTCACACTGATTTTATGTGAAGGTGATTAACAATGATCGTGGAGCACACATGAGGCCTTTGCCTGGTATCATAGGGTTGGTCTCATCCGCATCCAAGGTATTCAAGTTCCTGCTATTGTTTTAGTTACTGTCTTCATTGGACTGAATTAAAAATATGAAGATATGGGTGTACTCATGTAGACAGACCTCGTAGCACAGTTTGAGGAGAGCACTAATATCACAGTGAATAAATGAGCAGCAATGTTCTATATCCTAATGCGTAATATTGGCGGTCCTGATACAAATGCTTAACCTTTTGGATTATCTACTAGGATAAGAAGAAAACGCAACCAGTGAAGCAGTCAGACATGAAAAGAACCCGAAGAGATAGAGGGGAGTTGGAGGATATAATGTTCAAGCTGTTTGAAAGGCAACCCAATTGGGCACTAAAGCAACTTGTGCAGGAGACTGATCAACCTGCGGTATGCTCATTTTTTTTTGGATATTGTTTTATGATGTCATTGCCTGCATGCGGACAAAGTAAAACAATGGATCAATTATCTTATGTTGCTGACAAAGTAAGACAATGATTTAATTATCTTATATCGTTAGCATTTTAAATGGATTTCTATCTTGGTGAAATGTCTTTTCCCTTGTATTACTTGTATTGATGCAAGTCATGCTCCTGTTTAGCTGGGCAGCTTGTGTGACAGACTCCACTTTGATTTTTCTCCTGTTTTATTGCAGCAATTCTTGAAAGAGATACTGAATGAGCTTTGTGTTTACAACAAAAGGGGAGCGAACCAGGGTACATATGAGCTTAAGCCAGAATATAAGAAATCCGTTGAAGATACAGGTGCGGAATAAGCCATTTGATCTTGTTGTACAATCGCCGGGGGAGAGTAAAAAAACATGAGGTGATTTCAAGAGGATGGGTGCTGTCAATGAATGCGAACTATAGTAAACTGCCCTTGAGCATATTCAAGCATGTGTATGATGGCACCCCTTTTTCTTTTTCCTGACTTCATTTGTGATACAGGACCATGACAGCCATTAGAGGCATGTAAAGATGCTGTTGTAATCCCAGCATCACTGAGATACCAGGTCATGCATTTTTCCGTTGGCCTTGTTGAGAATGTAGCGCTAAGAGCATCGTTACGCAGTTTTGAAATGTACCCCAGAAAAGGATACACACATAAGACTAGGTGTGGACGAAGCAGGGCATTACAACTATTGTCTCTAGCTCGTGGCATTGCCGACAATTTCTAACATGAATTAACACATTTATGTGGCAAACTAGAAGGTAACACGAGTTGACATGAATGTTAATGTACATAAGTTCTATAGCATAATCAATAAAGTATAGTGTCCTTCAATGATACAACTTAATAAGGTTATGACATATGAACACGAATTGACAACATTTATAGCTATTCTAGCTAAATGTTAGTTTGGTATAGTTGTGGTTCGATAGTTGTGCTGCGTTGTGTTTGTGCTATGAAGTATCAATACTTGGATGTTTCATAATATGTTTTTATTTTAAAGTTATAACACCTTGAAACTAAGTTAAAATTCTAGAAACTGCTAGCCGCTGGCCTGCTGCATTTGCCTTGCGGTATTTGCAATAGCATGTTAGTTGTGGAGGAGTTTATGGAACAACTTATGCAGAGTGTAATATGTTTTTTCATTCTTGTAAAAGTTACGGGAAATCTATACCAATTAAAACTTTAAGGCATTGAGTATTCGTCTCTCAAAATCTTGGACTGCTTCGTTAATATGATCAAACATAATCTGCCCCTCAACTATCTTTTGGTATATGTACTAGGGTGTTGCTGACCACTGGATGACTTGTAATTCCAAAATGGAACCTGAAATTAGAAGCGCCACTTTCTTGGCATGTTTTGATTTGTCTGACCAAAAAAAAATTCATTGATTTGGGCATGTTGACGCTGAATCCGATGCCACAGTCATCAATTACATTCCAGCATCGTGCTTCTTGGCCCCTAGCGCAATAAATTCATTGATTTGGGCATGTTGACGCTGAATCCGATGCCACAGTCGTCAATTACATTCCAGCATCGTGCTTCTTGGCCCCTAGCGCAATGAATATCGTTACACCTATGGAGGATGAAAACTACGTGCGTCCTTGTTAGGTCGATAATCAAAACCATCTTGTAGGCGTTTACGTTTCAAGGCTCATTGATTCGATCTTTGAACTTGTCAACGTGGAAATCAAAACTGGAGACATGAAAGGCCTGTGATTGAACTTTGTCGTGAGCACGCGGGTCGAGGATGAGGATGTTGAGAGTGACCGAGTAGGAATCGTGTTTGTCATTTTGAGAAGATGTTTGCTCCAAGATTCCGATACCATCTCTTGAGAGAGAAAAAGAAGGCAAGTAGGATCCAACTGAAGTCCACTCACCAACTTGGCTCTAGACATAATATGAGGAGGTAGGGGTGACCCAATCTTAAGGGGCCCTTCCTCCTCACTGGAGCATATACCTAAGGGGAAATTGTAGTGGAGGTCTCATAATCATGTAGTATGTGTTGATTAGTGGTCGCAAAAAGGTGGATCGAGTTCGTATTGGGTTTGGCCTAAGTCGATAAATTTTTATTTATTTAATTCAATTAAACCCCTTTATTCTTGTATTGTCCTATGTAAATCTCATTAAGCAATACCCATGACAGCCATTAATTTATCTTATTTTAACTTTTCTAAGATAAGTATGGTTTTGATCCTCTAAATTTTATTGCTTGTGCGAATTGATTCTCTAAGCTTACTTTTGTACAATCGAGTCTTTTATGTCTTTGGCTTTATTCAATCAGGTCTTCCGTCAATTGTCTTGACTATTGGCAGCGACCCTCGCCGATAGTTCTGTCAATAGTTGCACAGGGCGATGACACCTCGTGTCACATGCTCTCTCTCTCTCTCTCTCGGGTTTTCCTTTTTTGTCTTTTTTAATTTTGTCATTGGTGTTTGCTAATGTAGCGCTTATTGGGCATCACATCAATGTCCCACATCCGTGGGTATTACTTTACAAGGGAGAGAGAGAGAGAGAGAGTATCTCTTTATGGGGGGCGCAACCACCTGTTCCTACTATCGGCGAGAGTCACCCCACCCTCGCTACCAAAGATGAGGCTTTGACAATCCTTTGTAATGGTAGCGACCCTCACCAACAGTTGCAGAGGGCGACAACACCTCGTGTCACATGCTCTCTCTCTCTCTCTCTCTCTGAGGTCCAATGACCCTTGACTGAGTGCCACAAGGGTTTGTCGATCCCAACCTATATCAAGCGACGCAGTCAAAATCACACCAATGATTGGAGGGCAATCGCCACCCCCATTCTCTCTCTCTCTTCTAGGGTTTTCCCTTATTTTTTTCTTTTTTAATTTTTTCATTGGTGTTTGCTGATGTGGTGCTTATTGGGCATCATATCAATGTCTCACATCCATCACGTGCAACATGGGTGATGCCATGTTACCAATTCAGCAGGAGGTCTGATTAACTAAATAAATAACGGAGGACTCGACTGCACCAAAATAAAGAAGATTTACAAATAACACAAACGGTGGAACTCAGATAGTCAAAACTGTAACCCTCAATTCTAGGTTGAAACATCTTGATTGGACAAAACGTGTTATCGAGTTAAAAAGAAGATTTTTTTTGGTCTAATAGTTAAAAAGAAGATTAAATATTGAATTTTGAAAGAGAATCTATCTATAGAAATGTAGTAAGAGAGAGGTACGAGAGAGTTTAATTCAGTTTGGCCATTTGTAACCATATTAAACTGCAAGTGTGATATTAGTCCAATAAGAACATGACACGCTATGTTCCAACGAGAACTTCAAGCCACCATGTTTTGAAATTGCCAAAATAAGAGAAAGAAAAAATAAAAAAAAATGATATAGAATAGAAGGACAGTAATTATTTAATTAAAAATACCCATTCAACCTAAATTAGATGAAAATCCATGAATTAATTATAACATATAAAAATTTGTTAAGGAATATATCTATACAAAAACAACAATACATCCTAGTGTTAAAATTATAAATATTTCAAAGATACCAATAACCAAACTTAAAATGTGAAAAGAAAATTATTATTCATTTGTATTTAAAATAACTCGTTTGTGAGAATAAATTTAATAAAAAATCGATCATTCACATTCAAAGATAGGAGAAAAATGTTAAAAGGAATTAAGATCAAGTAGAAATTTTTCAATATTTCATTGAGCGCAAGTCGAGTTTCGAATACTGAGTAAGTGAGTCGAGATGAGCTTGAACTTGACACTATAATTTTCCTTTTAAGTAGTTTTAAATGCTATCTTTCAAGTGAATGAGGAAACATATTAAACAATGAATAAATTCTGATAAAGACCAAAACATGATTAACGTAATAAAGTCTTCGAATATAAAACCTTTGGTTTGCAGCAGTAAGGCGGGCTCCCGCATCTTACTTGGCTTCTAACTGGTCAAGGATATATTAGTGAGGACTCTAGTTAAAATCTAAAGAATAATAAATGAGAAACCAACTTGCAGTCGTCAAGGCTTGAGGAAATCCGTGTGAAACCTAAGCGCCATCTCGAAAGAGGGTTACTCGTGCCAGTTTAACAATCTATTAAACTCCATTAGGGTTCACCTTGGAAGGGTTGCGACATGGAGCTTCCTAAGCTTATGAGGTATTGATGTATTAAGGAATTATTATTGAGCAAATTTGTTATTTAATGTAGAGGCGACCTACTGCTGGGTCCGCAATATGTTTAGGACTTTTTGGACAATTTTCCCTAGATGTTCTGCATAGGGGAGCCAATCGTTCGCACAAACTAGTGAATTGATGGTAATTCAATTTCAAATGTCAATTACGTAATTCATAGTTTATTTGTAGGGGCTTAGTTTGATTGGGGGTGATAAGAAAGGCTGACGTGAGGGAGAGTGGATTTTCAGTAAAAGGAACATAACTACGTAAAACAATATGCTATACATATCTCGATTGTCATACTATTTCGCCGGAATTCGACTTCGCGATGAAATACCTTTTACTGAAAGTTGTTCTTCAATTTTTATTAGAAGAAATAGGTTCTATGGCAATTCTAGACAAGAAATATCACAAATAGACATGGGAATCAATAACTTCAAATGGAACAAAAATTACACAAACTCTATCAGAATTTAATCGATGACAAAGTTTGAGATCGTAAAGATGTAATGTTGGAATTTAATCAACGACGAGACACCCAGGAACTTCATCAAAGATATGCGATGGAATTTAGTCGATAACACAGATATGGAAACTAAAGCTAAGAAATACGTTGAAATTTAATTTACGGCTTTAATACGGAAACTATAACTACAATACAAGGATTGAAAGATAATTGAAAGATAATATGTTTGTTTATGCACCGAGGGGGCCTCCAGTGGATTAACAACCGTATTTATAGTGTTCACAATGTAAACAACTACAAATAGTTTTTTCTGCAGTTTTAGCCATGCTTCCATGTCTTCGAAAATCTTGGTTCCATCTTCTCACGTCGCCATGATCTCACCTCTAGGTGTTTGTTCCCCAAAAACCACGCCTCAATCTCTTGCACTTTGTTGTCGAGTTAACTCCATTACATCTTCCACAATATGCTAGATTCCATTGCTTCATCTACCAATGATTTTAAATTTGAATATCGTAACTGAGTTTTGGCATCTTCTAGACATTCATTCTTCACTTTATGTCTCGATTGATAATCTTTTGATCCCCTTTTAATCGGTATCCTTATCAACCAACTGTGCCGTGATAATTGTCAACCATGCGCTATCGTGTGACGACAACATAATTCATGATCATTGATGTATATTAATATCGATAAAATTCTCATAGTTATGGACAATGGCCCACTTTTTTGGTATTGATAACTTCTAGTCACATGCTTACTTATGTCGAGGACCTTACTAATTTTTTGTGCAAACACATAATTATGCTACATAAATTGACTGGGTGGTGGTAATATTTATGTAGGAGCAGATGAAAGAGTTGGAGGTCCATCCCAAAACACGAGGCGGAAGATATGGATGATGTGGTCATCCTGGAGAATATGATGGAGGGGCGAGTTCTGGTGCACAGCCACCGGAGAAGTCGAGGAGTTCTATGTCCTCGGGTCGATGGGGCTCATG